AACATCCTATGCTCCATTCCATAGACGAATTTCCAAACTACAACTCCCCTGCCTTACCCCTTGCACTCCTTGCTCCATCTTTGCACATAGCAAAGCCTGGCAATGTCCTCCAAATCAGCCTGGGATATGTCCTCCCACACAAATACCAGTAACCGGAATAACAGCAACTCTGTCTTGTTTTGGTTTGTCTGGCACTATGTTGGGAAAGTAGGCTGGTCCATATTTTAAATGTAAGAACAAAATAAATCGAACAGCTTTATTCTCTTCCTCTCTGCAACCTTGACAAGCGTTGTTTGCTGGTGCATGTTTCAATCGTGTAGCATATGTATTCAATTTTATCTGGGCTACTAAAGAAACAGGCGACGCCAAATGTGGGCTGATGTCTGGATGATGCCACTTAACAATTGGAAGATACAAAAGCTGCTCAGGTCATTTACAGAATGGGTTGAGTGAGGAAGCCTGCTATCAGTAGGACCTTGGTCTGCTGAAGGTTTGCCAACCATGGTTTCTCGAAAACAACCACCATTATCAGTATTACAAAGTTCATGGCAAATAAGATTTAATGTAAAGAACATATTAAAGAAAAAAAATGAATTAAGCTATTTAAATAAGTTATGAGTTGCAAAAGGATTTTGGTTTTTACAAATGATCTTAATACTCAAACTTTCTTAAACTTGTTGCAACAGTTTATCGTATTGTTTAATGTGAGTATATCTCTGTTTCAGTAAAGCTCTGCTGTTTATTTTTGTGCTCACATTGTACTTCAAGTATTTCCAAATCCTCATAATCTTCTTAATTACCAAAATATATTCAGATGGAAAGTGAAACTTGCTAATCAAATTAAAACAAACGCTGGGTGATTCACATCCTCATGTTTCATGTTATCACAACACACCTAGTTTTTCACATGTCCTTTCACACCTCGCAGCCTTAATGACCACTGAGCACTACCCAAAATCGAAACCTTTTTCTGAGTCATTTAGCATAGTAAATGCACTCAAAGCCATTAAAATGTCTTCCAAAGACACTTTCAGTGAAAACAAAGTAGGATTCTATTTATATGAATGGCCAAGCCATGGTGACACATTAACTTATTGGATATCATACAGCAATGAGTGTTCTTGGTCATAATATTTTATGAGGTACATTGCCTTTTGGATGTTTATTGATTGGGAACCCTGTCATCTGTAACACCACCTATAAAGTCATTTTAAGACGTTTACAGGTATGTTTTAACCAAAGTATTGCAGTTAATTGTATAGATTTTTTAGTTTGTTTGTTTTTAAAGGAAAAAGGAACCCTTTCTGCTGCAGGACATTAATCTCAGGCAGTCATGCTGAAATTCTTCTGACATTCTAGAGCTGTTAGTCCTCTACTGCTCCTCTGACTGCACCTGCAATTTTACATGTTGTTATTACGTTTTTAAGGGGCTCAGCTCAGATTTGCTCCACAGATACTATAAACACAGTTTGGACTGAGAGCTCATTGACCCACATAGGAGAGGTGAGACGACATGCTCGGTGATTGGTTGGTTTGTGGGCTGTTTGGTGGGGTCAGAAGTGACCCCCACAATTTATGCAAAGCCTTTGTTTGTGTGTGTCTGGTGGTGTGTTTACAACATTTCAGCCATGTCTGGACAGCTCTACAATAGGACTCAGACACATAAACACACACTATAAACAATAGTATTAAACTAAATATTGGAGTGTGCAGGTAGAACATATGTAGTAATGATGTCATAAAATAACATAGTGACACAAAATAGGCTGTGGATGCTGTCTACGATTACTGACTTGTGAGTTTAGATCCAGTCCTCATAATACAGTACTGGGGAGACATGTGTCATACAAACAAACAACTTTAAAAAAGCGTTTTGAAAAGTCTAGCTCTTGACTGTTGATGACTTTATTTACCATTTTTTTAATACATAACAAACAGCTGCCATTCAAGATATCATGTTAATTATAGATTCTATAACATTGTTATACCCGCATCCTCCAGTGTCTTTAAGCAACAAAATCTTTGACTATGTGGGATCAGGGAAAGCAACAATTTCTGACTTTGGGTAATATTATAGTATAGTATAGTATAGTATAGTATAAGTATGTTTAGTGGATGACAGCCTGAAGAATTGTAGAATCATGAAGTAAATCTGCTCTATCTGACATTGTAGACAGTCTCTGTGTCGAGGCGAACACAGAGGCCTCTGACGTCTTCCATCACATCCCCCTCTAAACGCTGCCACTGCTGTTTGCATGCCACTGTGCGCTCATTCCACTTTAAGCTAAGGCAACCATCAGGATTTAAATGTGCTTCCAGTCTTCACAGAAAGCCATAAAACAGAGTTTCCTGGTACTTGACAGGCCTGCACGGAGCCCAACTGGCCAACATCTTTAATGCTCTCGTGGCTCACTGGGAGTCCAAATAGTCTGAACCATGAAAGTTAAGTTTCCAAGCAAGCAGCACCTGAAGGGCTGCAAACAGCCATGCTACAGCCATGGTGGGTTGTTAAATCAGAGGCGTTACTTTTCAAGCAATTCATGGCTAAATGTCGTGCCTGATGGCCCTTTTGTGAGAATACATCCAAGCTCCCAACATAAGCATACATATCATAAATCCTCAGCTTAATCTTTTTGTTTCATTGTCACAAAATACACATTTTTCTTCAAGCAAGACACAATCAGACAAGCAAACATTTTCACTGAGCTGTTTATTTACCGTGAACCATTAAACTTACCTCCCCAAAAACTGAAATATTACGAGTGACTGGGAATAAACTTGTAACAACACCTCCAGGACGTCTTGTCGAGGAAAATCTTTGCCGCTATCTGACTTTAATAACCCTTGTCTGCGCAGTGTAGTTTGGAACAAAGGCTCGAGAGGAAATAGCTGGTGCTGAAAGGCTCTTTTGTCAAGTTGAGCATTTTTCTGCCTGTTCGTGAGGGGAAGTCAAAAACAGCATGAACAGATCTCTGGAAATGCCTCATTGACCTAATTACTTCTCAGAATTTCCCAGATTCAACTATTTCTGAGGCAAAAGTTAAATAAGAACAAGCATGTGTTAAGAATAAACACATTTGAATCATATTTGAAACTTTTTTCTCAGTCCTTTTCTTACTTTGAGAGGTTTTTCTTTACTTACAAGCCTTTGGTTTATTAAGTTTAACGAAAAATATGAGACTTATGTTCCTCTGCAAGATGAAAATAGTTCTAGTTCAGGTACAAACAATAAATGAAGCAGATATGCCAAAAATATCTGTTGTATATGTTTGCTGTAGATTCTTGGGTAAAAAATCAGCTCAGAACACAAGACTTAAAGTTTACAATTTGTTTGTACTTTATGTCATGTGACACAAAACAGTGTTGACGTCAACATCCTGACATTTTCACATCCCCATTTGCTGAGGGGTTACATGTAATATTACTCATTTCAAAATCTTGTAATTACAGGATTGCAGACACACACAACACAAGAAAGAATAGAAAATTAAGAACTGAAACACACTGGTGCTAACACAATAATCTGTTGTGGTTAAAAACCCAACAGTATGTGCAAACATACCTGTTTCACCTAAACAATTCTTCCAACCCACATCTAATAATAAAAATTATTTGGAAATGCATATCCATTAAGTAGAAACTGCGTTTCAATTGTGTTAAGGACGTACACAAAGAGAAGGCAACTATAAAAATAATGCAATTTAGAAATAATGTTATAATAAATAAGTATGCATTAGTAAAATTTTGAGACTGGAAATAAACAAATTTCTCTTACTATATATTTACATTTATGTGCAGATTTTATACATAAATATACATAAATACACACATAAATACATATATATGAAGAATAATTCTGAGGGTAAAACAGACAAACACGAACTCTGAAAAAAAAAGGCTTTGTTTACAACCATGACAAACGGGTCTGAGACTCTGATTGTGAAAGTTTAGAGTCTAATCTATCACGAAAGGGTCTGCAACAATGTCTGGTGTTTGTGTTGGAGGTCTAAAATATAAACTTTTGTTTCTGTTCTTGTAAGCAACTCATTTTCAGCTCACTGAGCTCAGTCACTTGTATCGTGAGATGCCACATGATATTTTTACATTGCATCTCATTGTAAACCCACCAAGAACTGCATGGGAAAACAGTCTGTTTGTCTCCATTTAGACAATGTCTGAAGCAGAGGTAAACACGCATCTTTATATCTGTTTTGAAATTAATTAGCTGTTGATAAAATTAGCTACAAAACATGATTAATATTAATGAATGTAAATTAGCTTTTTTATCATTTATTCACATAAATCCAAATTAAATTGGTATAAAGCAAAGATAGACAAATGTTAAATAAAAAAATGTATAAAGAACATGTGAGCAGAGGGAGCAAAGAGGAAATATGTATTTTATTAAAATTCCAATGGGTGTGATAATAATGCATAAAGCTAAATTAAGGCTAATCTCAAATTTACTAATTTGAGGTTTTGTCTCAGCGAAAAAGACAGCAGATTACAAGTGTTTTATTGAGTCTTCATTGTTCTGCTTTCCACTATCAGCAGTCTCATCCGGCCTTTACTGAGCATCCTCCTCCCATTTCAACAGTTGCCTAATAAACCCCTGAGAGTTTGTTCAGTTCGTTCTGAGTGATGTTTACAGCTCTGTGTAACACTTTGTACAATGCAAGCTGTACAACGTGTTTCTCGCTGGTCCCCTTTGTGTTTACGTGATGCAAAAAATAACTCGGGTGCTTGTTGAATATTAATGTAAACGGTATACAAACTATACCAGAGGATGCTGGATGTAATCCAAGAATCAGCTGATCCTTTATTCGTTTCATTTCATAATAGTCTTAGCTGCCATATGTACAACTACAGTCTGTAACCATCATTTTACTCCACCAAGTGTCGTTTGTCTGGCTATTGAACCCTGTTGTGCTGAACGTGATGTTCCAGTCTATTTGCATGCAGCATCCCAGACACAGGCACTCCTTTATTTGCCTAATGAAGTGCACTGCATACATAGTTGTAAAGGTTTAAAGAAACACTAAAGACAATAATCATATTAATGTTTTTTTATTAGGAAAAACAGTTACAAAACTTTGGCATGGTTCTCAATAAACAACAGTCTTCGTATAAAAATACAATCTTTTTGCATTAATCTTAATCTTCAGTGCGTGCCACCAACGTTGCACAACTGACCCTGAACTGATACTCCTGACAGTTTTTTTTGGAAGTTGAGGAGGAAACACGATCTTTGAGTCAGGTTTTGGAATGTAGTTTCTTCCCTACGTTTCAGTGGCATCTCCAGCTTATTGCTCGACCTAATGGCACAGAGGCGTCTGGCTCCCGTCAAGTTTCAGTCTGCGCGACTCTAAAGTCTTCATCTTCTGGGAGAGCTCCTCTGCGAGCTTTTCCTCAGCTTGCTGCTACATCTTGTATCAGTGCTCCGAAATGAACTACCACAGGTGTCCCACAGCTCGGTGCCTCGAGCCTTGAGCTGCTTTTGGAAACTTGAACCACTTACAAGGTGACCATTTTACTCTTAGCATCTTTCAGTAATACGTTCTGCTCTGTCCAGCTTTCTGGGATAGCGGCTCCCAAAATCTCATGCAATCCTCGGCAGATAATTAAGGCATACATTTTTCCCTTTAACATATTGTGACCTGCATGCATAAAATACGTTGACATCTCCTTATTTGACTTGTCTGCTCCAATGTTCCGCCTTTAGATACAGTACATAGTTAAGTAACAGTAGAATTCATCACAGGCACACGGCTGTTGAGTCAAACAATGCATAGCGATGCAGGAGGTGAACATCAACACTGCTGCCAGGCACCGGCAAGTAAGAAACAGAGAAGGATAATCGCACTTCTTTCTTTAAAGCCACTCAGTGATGACAGTGTGCTTCCAAACATGGCAACTTATCAAAAGCACCTCCTATCAAACATCTGAACACCACTTTATGCCTGATAAATATCAAGTGACCTCATGACCCCCCCAACCATCAATATGTCCCAAACTCCTTAAGTCTCAAAAATCTCTTCAGTTGAGGGAAAGCGTTGAGTGGGAGGTCGTTTGTTTTCTCACTTTGCGCGGAGCCAAAAATCACTTGGGGAGGACAGGAACTGGTGCAGAGAGAGTTGCTGGCCTCTCAGCGGGACCAGAAAAAAACCTCCACTTTACTGGGGCGGACACAGAGTGGCAGCTCCTCTGCAAACATTCAGTTCCTGTGAGCTCCGGCTCCTGACGCTCCTGTAGCGCTCCAGTCCATCTCCACAACACGGGGTGGGACCAGGTGCCGTCCACCATAGAGGCGTAATCCAGGAGAAGACAAATCTCTCGATTCGTTTCAAAGGTTAAACTGCTTGTCGCTCAGGCAGGGCTCACGGTTCAACACGTCATGCAGCGAGGCCTCATGTTCAAAGGCTGAGGGTTGGGGTCAATCTGGAAGACAGAAATGGGAAAGGTTGAGTTAAAAAAAAAACAGGCTTCCTCCTTTTTATTCAGCAAACACCTCCAGATGTGGGTGGGTTTTTTTCTGCAGTTACTGTTATGCAATTCAGCGGGGAGCTTTTTCAGTAGGAAACTATTCTAATATGCATAAACAAAAGCTTTAAAAAAAAATGCATGTAAACTTTTACATGACTCATTCAAACCGAGCAGCGTTTGAGGAGGCCGGCCGTTTCCAGTATTCCGTGACTCACCTCGCTGTAAACGGGTGGAGGTCTGAAGCGAAACTCCTGGACAAAAGCCAAGAGAGGTCTCTCCTGGATGCCGCTGAGGTCTTCGGCCGGCGGCGGGGCCGCCGAGCTGTTGCGCTGCTCGGCCTCCTCCTGGGTCACCACAGAGCTGTAGTCTGGAGGAGCTGTAGATAGAAAAAAAAAAAGGGGGGCCCCGTCAGTCCAGCGCTCTGCCTGCACGGGAGCAGTAGGGTTGGAGTGGCCGGCACCATTAAACGCGGACACTTACGCTCGGGCTGCTCGGGGATGGTCATGTGCAGCCACTCCAGGTTAACGCTGTAGTGGCTGCTGACGCTGGACGTCCGGCTGCCGAAGGGGTGGAGCGGGATGGTGCCTATGACCAGCGGCAGCTCCAGGCACAGCTTGGAAGTCCCGGGGACATCGACGCAAACCTGAGGGGGGGGGACGAGAGAACGTACGGGTCAGTCTGTGCGAACAGCATCCCATGCGCAGCGGGGTTTTAGGAGCCACGGAGCAGGAAGGCCCAGCTCACCTTCAGCATGTACTCGACTTTGATGATGCGGCACTGCAGGATGGACGGCCCCACGGGGGGGATCTTGATGGCGCGCCCGTGCCAGGTCTCGCGACACTTGGCGCTCACGATGTCCCCGCAGAGGGTGGCCACCACCGAGCGCTTCTGCTTCATGGTGCCGCGGGCGATGAAGGTCTGCGTCTGCGTGATGAAGGCTTTGGGCACAATGGACCTGGAGGTGGAGTTGTCGAACTCTGCAAAGACGGGGATCACCTCGCCTGCAAAAAGAGAGCGCGTTCAGACATCCTCCTTTAGAAAACAGGCTAAAAAGGCTGCGTCCGAATAGGGCTCGAGAAGAAGGAAGCTCACCAGGCGTGTAGCCTTTGCGGTCGATCTTGGCGGTGACCGACACCTGCCCGAAGTTGCGGTACCAGGCCCGCGCCATCTTATCCTTCGTACCGGCCTGTGGCGCCTAAAAAAATAAATCATAGAACTAAATAAGCATGCGTCTAAAAACAGGCTGTACTGGAAAAAAACTAAACAAAGCCAGCGGCGAGCGGCGCACCAGCAGAGTCGGCGTGTTGATGTCGATGGGCTCGATGACCGTAAACTCTTTCTTGATTTTCCTGACGGTGGCCCACGGCCTGTGGAGCTTGACTTTGACCCAGTACCGGATGCTGCCGTGCTTCCCCTCGAAGGAGGTGACGAGCGTCTCCTCTGGAAGCTGGAAGCTGAATGGAAACTCGTGTCTGCCGGCAGGAAGGACGGTCACTTCGCCGTTATCTGAACAGGGATGACAAGTGAGAGAAAAAAAAAAGTTAGGTCACTTTCAAGAAATATAGGGCAGGTCAAATCGTTCCTAAGAAAAGGAGGCAATAAAAGTTTATGACACATATCAAGGAATCGCTTCAGGGACACGAGTCAGATAAAGCAGCAAGCTGCTACAGCTTCAAGAAGGAAAACAAGTGCTGAGAAAACTGTGAGAGGCAAATTGCATCAACTCAAATCTCCCTAATAATATTGTCCTATTCAACTCCTGCTGAAACTCGCTCGTGTCTCTTTGAAATCACATGGTTTCTGTTTTAGCTCTGAGGCAGTTCCACATTGTTGTGCTCACTTAGAACATGTTTTCCTCAAGCTACAAACGTGCAGTGCAACCACTCTGGGGTTTTTTTTCTTCCTCTCTCTTGCTCAAACAGGTCCAGGAACACGTGTTTGTGTTTAACAGACTCAACAATTTGTTTGGTGTCCCTTTTTTGCTTGCGGCTTCTTCTCGATTCTAACAATCTTCCTGGGTCTCATAACGGTGTCATAAAAAGCACATGTCGATCTTTTTTAATGCACATCTGAAAAAAACGCCACTGATTTAAATGGAATTAGATATGTTTTCAGGTAAAGGTCTGCATTTTTTTTCCTCAGACGAGCGTGTCCAGCCTGAAGGAAAGCTGAGCAGGAAAGCGGTTCGGAGTCGACAAAGCCCTGGCTGTGGGTTTCCTGTCAACCCTTTAAATCAAAAACACCTTTGTGCCCACTGAATGGGAGCAGAAACTTGAGGCTTCCCGTCACTTGAGAGGACAAAAACAACTTGGGATTTGCATCGGATGAGGGGAAAGCCTGGTGTCAGGGGCTCTGCTTCAACAGATGCTTTCAGCATGAGAAACCAGCTGCTGGACTGTTTGCTTTCCCCTTTACTGAAACCAGAACCAACTAAACTCCTGCAAACCAACTACATACAGCCTGTGGACATTCTGTTCATTCTTTAAGAAAGGAGAACAAACAGAAATAAAAATGACAATTCTGGGCACTATTGCTTCACTTTTAAATCGATATGCCAATGAAGGATAAAACTGATCCTTTTTAGACACTTTTCCAGACAAACAACAAGCCCAGTATTCCTGGACAGATGAGCCATTTTCACTTTTGTTTGAATGCCCGTCCTTTTGCAGCTTTCTGTCTGGGCATAAGGACGTGTTTCCCCCCCTCCCCCGACCCCCCCATCCCATCAGCGTCTCCTCCGGGTGGACTGACCTGCCTGCAGCAGCACCTCTCTGCGGTTCAGGTACTCCACCTCGTCGCTGTAGTTCTGGGTGTACGCCGTGCTGGAGCCGGCGGACCGGGACTCGGTCCAGTGGACTTTGGCGAAACCTTCGGCGTGAAGCTTCAGGGAGTCCACCCGACTCTCCCCGGAAAACTCCAGCACCACCCGTCCGGACACGACGTCCCCGCTGCTGAACACCGGAGGACAGTCCATCTCCGGGGAGTCGAAGACGATGTCAAACTTTTTCAACTTGTCGAAAATCATGTTGTTTTTTTTGTGAAGGGGGGAAAGTTTAGGGAAGTGGTCTAACGGCGAGAGGGAGCGTTTCTTTTTCCTTTTGAGCCGCGGAGAGTCTCAATGTGGCAAAGTTTTTCAGGCTGTTGATGTGTTTTTTGCTCGCGGTCGCGGCTCGGTCTGTCGTGCATCGTCAGGCAGCAGCCCTGTTTTGAGGCGGAGGAAGTGGGCGTGGCCTCGCGGGTCATTATGTAAGGCCTCAGGAGAGGGTTGAAGCCTGGGCAACGCCGCATTCAAAGACCTCTCCTTAGCGCCGACATTTGAGGACTTTCGGGTTGTAAACAAGACATGCCTTGGTCACTGAACGATGAAGTGATTGTGAATGTTTCAAAATGTGTATAGAAAAGCGCTTTAATTAGTTTCGTGTTTGAATTCATTCAAGAAACAAAAAATATAGACAGAGGTAAAGCAACACATTATTAAAAACTGTATGAAATTGTGGTTGTGGTAGTAAATAATACGTTTCTTTTCAAACAAAGAAATATCTTCTAGAATAACATCTATCATCTTATTTTTTAATCTTATTTCTCATAAGTTGACTGCACAACTTTAAAGATTTCCAGACAAATTATCAGATAACACAAAACTTTAAAAACAAGTGAAATGGTTGAGAAAGTGAAACCAAAAGAGCCGCGACACCCCACACAAAGCCATCCCCTTTTTACCGCTTATTGACTCACTCGGCTCTTCTCACAGTCCCCACAATGCCACAGCGTCCCTGAACGCAGCACCAAAAAAACAGGCAGACTGGGTGTGGAGGCAGCAGAGGAAAACAGGCCCTGGTGATGATTGATAGTTACAGGTTCTTAGAAGAAAACAGGCTTACAGAGCATGCCTCAAGTCCAGCAGAGAGCTCAGGGGGAAATTGTTTCACTCTGGACCAAAGCTGTTTATGCCACAGCTTCCATGTCACTTTGAACATACTGTTACATATTTTGAGCTGCTTCAAGCATGAGAAAAACTCAGCTAAGTACTGACGTATTTCAGCAAATCCCCTTATGAAACTGCCATTCGGATTCAAGACTAAAATAACTCCTAACATGCATCGCAGATAAACTGCAGATGGGTGTACTAAAAGAAAAAACAGTAACATCTGGATCATTTTCATCAATAATAATCATTAATGTAGACTTACTAAAAATGCACACAAGACCAAACAAAGACACCCCTAAGCAAAACTTTTCAAATCTCTGCTCCGGATCGTAAACAAGTGCATCACCGATTCACCTACAAGCCCTAAACTCATCTCAACTCTCCCTTCAATTCAGATCCATAGGTCAAGTCTGTTCTAAGAAACTAAGTTGTTTACTCCTCTGTTCCTTCAAATAGGAATTTAGCCTTCCAGTGCCACCAACTGGTCAACCTGAATAAATGATGTAGACAAGGCAAGGCTATCAGGATGCTTGTATAGTCCGCTTTGGGAGGATGATGTTTGCTGATAAGAGAAGCGCTACAAAGCCTTTAGACTTAGAGAATCTTCCCTCTCAGAATATGACTGAATGGATCTGTTGACCCCAGTTTCCCGATGCGGGTCTGCTCAACAAGTGATTATTACAGTAGAAAGCACATCATTGTTTGACAGGATAAATCATTTATGAAGAAAATAGGTAAAGAAGGAGTCCATTTTTAGGTAGCAGATTTCTTTCAAATTTGGGAGATGGCTTCTCACAGCTACATCAGTTTCTGTTTTTGAGGTAAGTCTGTTTTGGGCTGAAACAAAGAGCAGCATGCCACCTGCTGGTGACAATGACCGTCTCTCCCTCAAGTCCCCGGCACAACAGTGATAAGACAACTCATAGCAAATTGTGTATTAGCAAGGATCCACAAGGAAAAAAACAAAAGAACAGCATGTGGTCCTCTGCACAGAAAAAGAATGAGCAAAATGGCTCAGAATGACGGCTCAAATCATGGCTAAAAACATGTTTTAAAACGGACTCAGAGTAAGTGAATGTGCAACCATCAGCTCCTCAATGTTTAGCTAAGGGCCTGCCGAGTCAGCAGAATGATCTTTAACACTGAAGCCTTCTGTTTTTGAGAGCAAAGACCAGGTTTGAAGAGTTTTTTGGGGGGGGGGTCTTGAGAGGATTGTGACTTTTTAGGCTTTAAGTGCTTGAGCCACACCTAAAAAACAACAACTAATTATTGACTGAAAACTTTCTGATAAAATGCCTGCTTTAAAATGAGAAACAACCTAACTCTGGATTTTTGAAAAACGTCATGTTAAAGAGCTTGGAAAAGGTCATTGCTCTGGTAAGTGTAAGGAGTGCAGCAGCTGGCTGCATGGTGAGAGGGAGTGGGGCCAGGAGAGCCACGTGTTGTTTTCCTTGTTGCCATGGTGACAGGATGCATTTTTTAAAATCATCCCCCTACCCCTTAACAGTTTCTGTGATGCCATCCATCGTCTACATTCTAATTTCTTGCTGTTATTATGATTTCAAATACAAAAACTAAATACTTTATTTTTAAAGCAAAGAGTGTTTTGCACGTTTTGCAACCACTCGATTATTAGTTTCAACTTGAGGTTTTCGATACTTTGCTTTGCAGATAATCTTCAAAATTTAAGATATCTTTGTTACAATTAACCCCAATGACAGCATATCAACAACTAAAAGTCTAAACAAGATATGAGTAGATGAAAATGTGACTAATTTTGCAGAATTAGTTTGTAAGACACAGTATAGTAATACTTACCATTTCAGAGCAACTTCAAAAGGGTTATTTATAGCTCATGTACAATGTGAACGTCTATTGTAATTACATCATTCTTATTTTGAGATAAATTACGTCACGTAATTTTTTTAAGAGGATATAAGGTTTTAGGATAAGATATTAATACTTCAAAGAGTATTAATTATTAAACTTCATAGATTATATGACCCCATAAAATGTCTTATTAATTAAGATTAATCTGGTTTGTACTTGAAATGAACATTTCAAATAAAGTAAATAAATAAAATAGAGTTATACAAAATTTAATCATGATCCAAAAAAAGTAGCTCAAAGAAGGATAGAAACCACAACTGAACACAACCTTCCTTTTTTTGCAAAATGTAAGAAAATAAAGATCTAGACCTGCTTTTGAGCAGAAAATAACACTTGGTTCAGTGATCTAGTTTTTGTGTCGGATTGAAGTTTCAATAAATTTACATATGAGCAGCATCCACACCAGAAACCATATCAGATTAAACTTCTACGATAGCATAAGCAGTTTTATCAGACAAAACTAAATAACTTTTTATGCTAATGAAAGGTTTATTGTGGGTCATTTTAGTTTTAAACCCCAAACCTTTCCTTGGTACGTTTCCCTTTGTCCTCTTCTGGATTTTGAATAATCAAATTTGTTTTTGCCAATATCAGCTTTAGTTCTGATTAATTCTGAATAAGATTTTCAATTCTTTAATCCCAAGAAAACTGATGTATGATCAAATGCAATCCTTTATTGAGTTTCCCACTGGTCTGAGCAGGAAGAAGAGAAAAATCATCTACAATACACGGTGAGACTTTAACTGCCATCTACAGTTTATTTACACCTGACTGTTGTCTTTGCCTCTGTCATTTAGGCTGCCTGCTGCCATCCAGGCCATGGGAATTTCACTCAGTAGAACTCAGTAAACCAGTTATGCGTATTTGGACTCTGCACTAACGGATTTGTGTTTAATGTCAAAGATTATGTTATCTGGCAGATGTAGCTGGACACTCTCCCAGGTTTCCACGCAACGCATTTGGCTCAAGAGGCTTTATTTTGCAAACTGCAGAGGCAACAAAAAAAAGTGTCTCTTACATGGCACAAAGCAGCGTACATCAGCTGTTTTGGACCTCAATATTGAGGGCAGGCAGATAATGTTTTCACAGAAAAGCTGCACTGCATCCTAAAAATACAATACCAGTATATACCCCTACAAAGCTACAGGTGAGATAACCCACAGATGCAGCAGGAAACAAAGGAAGCACAACATATAAAAGGTCACGACGGCTGGCTTGAAAAAGGAAAAAAACTATGACAGCTGCAGTGCAGTTTATCTGACTTCCTTTCACCACTGACCTCTGATCAGATGCTGTCTCTTCCTGAAGTACGTGATTTTGGAGGTGTAGTCGTTATAGACAGAGTTCATGCCGCGGTTCTCCAGCCAGTGAGCGGTGGCCACCCCTCGACCCTGCACCCTCATGGAGTGCACTTTCATGTCCCTGCGAAGCTCCAGCACCACCTGGCCGGACACCACCTCCCCTCCGGTGAAAGCCGCATCCGCTGGACCATCCAGCTCCAGAGTGAAGGACTTGATCGAACTCAGCGTCATTCCTACGTGTGAGGGCAGATGGGCAGCTTGTGAATGAATGCATATTCATGGGGCATTACGCAACACACGACAGGTACATTTTAAGAAGATTATCGATTAAAGTTGGCAGTAAGGAAGCAAGAGAACGTAGGTCCGATTTGCTGCAAAAGCAAACAGCAGGAGCTGCAGACAGTAGCTCCTGAGCATGTGAAGCTTTTAAATCAATTGCGTGCTTGAGGACTCATTTTGAATGTTCACTTTTCATTACATAGTTTAAAATAAAATTCTGATTGTTGTTTGTGTCCTTCAGTGATATCTATTCTTAGGGTGGGGTGGGTGGGGTGGGTCTCATTCAAGTCACTATCTGCTCTGTGGACTCTTTCTCAAAAACACTTAATTCAATGCTTTTCAAAGATATGTTAGCTACTCTTTGGACTTAAACACAACTTAGTGATGTGGATTATAAAACATAGTAGTCGACACTGCATATATTCTATATGCATTTTTATATATATTTTCAAAAGCTGAAAATTTTCAGCATTTTTTTACAGAAAGCTGAACATATCTGTTATTATCAATGTCCAAAAAATATGAGAAAATAGGATTAATAAAAAAAAATAGTTTCTATTCTTAGCCCCATGAAACCAGAGGTGCACATTCTTCCAGCTGGTTAAACAGCAATCGATGGTTACATTTGTAGGTGAATTATGAACACTTTGCTTGCTGTTTTCTGTCAAAAAGGAAAGAGAACCTCTCTCAACCAATCAGGATCAAGACCCGACACCACGTTTTATGGGTTCAGTTCCCGAAACCGTTGAAATGATGAATGAAGGTCTCTACACTCACCGTCAGGAAGAAGGCTACGTGATGTTCCTCACGAAAGCGTTTCAAAGCCGACAGCCTCCTGAGTCCTCCTTGCGACTGTAAGCTCAATGGAGCCCTCACTATATGAACGGTGGCTGCCTTCGACGCCCAGAATTACAGTGACTCCGCTCTGAACCAATGGCAACGGGCGAAGGCCACTTGGCTCCGCCCACTCGGCTACGGAGCGGGGGGAGGACCGCATGGAGTGGGCTGCCGGCCGGTCACGTGACCTTTGTTTTCAGTAATCATATTTGAAGTCACGCTTCGCGTCTGTGTGCCATATTGCGGCCAAGATTTGTGGTTTTGGCAAGATGGGAGCTTGCCATTGAAGAAGAGCAGGAAGTAATGAGGATGAAAGTTGAAACTACCAGTGTTTGTTGGTATATATAAGCTATGCTTTGTTTTTGGTGAAGGGAAAAACGAATGGTGTACAATTCATGCATGCTTCAGAGAGCAATGAAAAGATAAATACCTAAAAACCTCAATTGAGGGTGATTCCTTTCTTCTGCTTGGTTGACCATCACAGATCTCCTATTGGCCTAGAGTTAAAGTGTGTATGTGTTTTATATAAATAAAACTATTAGTATACTATAAATTTTGAAAAAGAAGTTAATCATAATTTGAATTTTTCATCTCTGCCTCTTCAAATATTGTCAAACTAGCACAATCATAGGTATTCCCCAAAAGAACAATCATGGAAAAGCCTGCCTACTCATTAAAGTAGATTTTAAAATATGGTGACTTAAAATGAAGCTTTCCTCTGTTAAGTGCCTTTGACCAAGTTAGCCCCTTCTTTTCCGACCCTAACCCTAGCTTTTGAAATTCAGCATTTAGTGTGATTTACATCTGCTGACCTCTATGCCAACACTTTTTCATTTTCTTTTATAAACAGAGCCTGCATTTCTGGGTTAAGGCCATGTTATTGCTTCAACATGGATTGTTTTTGTGGAGTTTTGTGGTCAGTCATGCTTGAAGGAGGGATTGAAAATGTTTCTACGAAACAGACACTAAGCAGTTGTCATATACAGTATAAACAAGGTGGGAGATGCACAGTCAGGAAGGAAATCATTTTCTCAAAATATACAGTCACCTTCTTCATACTTAGCTGACATCCAAACATATAATAAAGTAGGTCAGCAGAATTTGAAGCTGCGTTGCTCGCCTAAATATGGCGGATGAGGCTAAAGGTTTATGTTCAAGCCACCTAACTGCTAAAGCTCTTATTGCACACTGCTTCAACATTTCACACAGCTCTGTTCGAGGAAAAAAGTTTTTTTCCCCTGAAGTAATATGAGAATTCCTTTAATACTACGGGCCTGGTTACACAGATCATATTGAAATAATTTATCATTTCTAAAACGATGAAGGATTAGGTTTAAAGGTTCAACCATTCGTAAAGGTTGCCAAGGGTATTTAAAACTTTAACTTCTTCTGTTAGCTGATCACAGTCACTAACAATATCTTTTGGCATACGTTTAAGAGTTTCAAACTGATGCTTTAAGAAGTCCTGATAAGATAATTTGGTATTTGAGCCATTTTAAAATCCCTGTCTTCCATGTGTAGTTTAAAACTTTTCACCTGACCTGAGCTCATTGTGAATGATTGCTTGTCAGTTTTTCAGAGTGAACTTTGTTATATGTATATGTAAGCCTTCAGGTGTATTTTTATGTGGAAGAACTGCAAACTCAGAGAACAATGTAGTTGAATACATTTAATATTTCATACAAATGTCTACAATTCTTGATCCTTGGTGTAAGCATTTTTTAAAATTGTAAATGAAGGGTACAAAAAGGCCAGCACTCCTGTTGTGACTGTCAAAAACGAGTAAGGCATTTGTTGTGGGTGGGAGGCCGAGGGGCCAAAGGTTTGACTGTGTAGACATCCATGTTGGTGGTGTTGAATCGCTGCTTGCCCAGAGGAAACCTGAGATTGCTCTGTTTGAACAGCCAGCAACAAACAATACAATCAATATGTTTTAATGTATAACTAAAGACAAAAAATAGACATGCATGGTTTGAACAAAAGTCTAGTTCTGTTAACACCATTGTTTTTTGGGTCATTATTGTCAAATATATGTCAGCAGTTATTATGACCTTTGACCCTGCTAAAAACTGATAAAAATTTGATTTCAGGTTGTGATCTCTCACCGTTTGCTGTGATGGACAAGGTGTTCGGGCTGAGGTCTTCAAAGGGAGAAAGTCAGCCTTAGTGGTGCTGACATGCGGACCATATTCTGGCAAAAATGATATCAAACTTCAATACTAACATACGCATTCCTTTAAATACATAACGAGGAATAACCCATCACCTGCTCCATTCAGTGTGTTCCGCTGCAGCTGGACGACAGGTCTGGTCCGATTGACATCCCTCTTGCAATAGTGCTCTCTGGCTGTAGTTGAGTAGTATAGGCCTGATAGTCTTGGTTGGCTGAAGTGTACATGACTTCTGGTGATCAGATCAGGATCGGGTCCAGTCATGTGCTGATGTTTGTCATTCGGCTATGGAGGGATCAGATACTACACATTTAACATAAAAACACACTTTTATTCAGTCACAAGTCCAAATTCTACGGCAACAGATAAGGTCTTGGAACAGTCATGATATTAAAAAAACTTAATATGTCTCATTTATGCATTAATAAAAAAATACAACTAAGTCAAGGATCTGTCATCTCACATCGCTGAAGGATAATCTGTTGGTGGTGACGGACATCCTCTCTGTGTTTCGCTTCTTATCAATGTCTCCTTCTGGCAGGGAACTAATATTCTGGTTTCTTTTGATAAAAACAACTGGATCTGTTGAGTAATGCACAATTTGCAGCGTTATAGACAGGAAAACCAAGATAGTCATCATATAAAGATTTAATCTCTTCATCATACGATTTTTTTTAACCCAAATTCATCCAAGTGAAAGTTTAACTAATGTCTGCTGAGGACAAATCCCTTGAAATGAATTAAAAACCAATTAAACAAAATACTCAATGTTTAAACTTCTATCTTATCTGCTGAGACAGTGGATGTAAGAGGATTTTTTTTTTATCAACCATGACAATTTTTTTTGTAAGATATTTGAACACTAATAAACAAGAAATCAAACCTGTCTTGCTGAACTCCCACCTGTTTTATGGTAACAAAAGGCCTCTTTGGAAGTAGAAGACCACGCTTCCCGATGAAAATTTCCACGTCTGAGCTTCAAATGCTCATTAATCTCTGTGGGCCTGTTTGAGAAACAACGTTTACACTTTCCATTGCTGAAAACAAAGTATAAACATGTTATTTTATTCTAGTTAGAGGAAAATGCAGTCCTGACTCTGAAATAGTGTCGCTGGAGCTTTTGGTTTACTTGAATCTTTAGTGTTTTGCAAAGCAGTTGTTGTATAATAATTTTTCAAGCATAAAACTTGCAGACCTGCAGACCTTGGGCTGGTTGAATGACAAAGCGTGGGTTGTTTCTCGTTCCAAAATCTTCTTTGGATCACCGATATGCACTGATGAAGTGTGCTGGGCAGAACAAGCAAAAAAAGAGGGGGAAACTGTCACTATCCAATGTTGGTATAGCATGTATTTAACAGAAAAACAGTTTAAAACTTAGTAAATGACTCTGTCTGTTATCTTATTGCCTGCCAAAAGCTGATAATGCTGAAACTCCAACATATTGTTTTATGATGCTTGAAGTACAATTCCAGGGAGATCTGTTTTCAGCTTGTTCATCATCCCTTTAATGAAACCAACCATTAGATTAAAGTAGGCTGTTCAGGGTTAACATGAATGTTATGATAATACCCGTTTTCCGAAAAAGCATTTAGGACTTATGTTCAGATAAAACCTAACGACTTCTTTAGCCATCATGACTTAATATTAGTGAGTTATATATCATAAATAAATATATATTTATTTATAAATACATTATAAATGAGTTGTATACTGGAGCCTATACTCGTTTCATCTTCTTTAATTTGACCTTTTCTTTGATTTAGTTTTCAAGACCTTTTAAAGATGTACATGTAATGCAAAAACTACAAACCAACCTATGAACAAGTCAAATGAATCATTGAATGTTATGATGGTATGTCATAAATACTTTAGTGAGTATTGATCGAGCTACTTTGGCTTACAGCAGAGGCTTTGTGAAAATCGATAAATTTACAACATTTCTCT